AAAGGGTTGTTAGGGAGACTAAAGAAAAAGATAAAATTTTCTCTTTGAAAAGAAATTCTACATATACAATGGTAATTCTCTAGAGCATATTATCAATATAAAAAGGCTTGAAGAATAGCATTCTGTTGTTTTGGGGGGGTGTCTCTGTGTGTGTGTGTGTGTGTGTCTCTGTGTGTCTCTGTGTGTGTCTGTGTCTCTGTGTGTGTCTGTGTCTATATGTGAAGTGGTTTTCCAGAATTTAGGTATTACAACTAGTAGCAGTGGACATGTTCAGTTGTGTTTTTTCTTTTGACTGAGATAGATATTTATTCTTTCTCTTTCTCCAAATTTTATTCTTCATTACTGGCCATAGTTTAAGTGACTGTTCTGTTAGAAAAGGGAATGAAGAGAAGTGAGCTATTCCTTAAGCACGCTGTTCTTAATACTCCAGTGCACACAAATACATAAAATTGATTTTTTAACAATTTATCTCTCAAAACTATTTTAATTTCACTTTAGCATAAAACATGAACCAGCTTACTTAAGTATAAGGCAACTTTCCACAATGCTCATAAAATTACTTCTAACTAGATTCTGGCAAGGCAGTATATTTAAAAAGTGTCCTTATCATGATATAGATAGAAAAGAATATTTTATTTACATGGACAGCATGTAAACTACGTCATATTTGAAAAGTCGTGGAAAAGAGTTTGGCATGAATGATCAACTAAAGTACAGATCCTCAATATTGTCAGACTGTGGGCTTGCATTTGGATGTACTTTTCATGCCTTGGGTAGCCCATTGTGTTACTTAATGCTTTCTTCCCCAAGGTCCATCATCTCTGAAATGGAGCTAGTTGTAATTACCTGCCTTGTAAGATTATTGTTGAGAAATACGTGCGCTCTAATATGTAAACTGCTATACACAACTTAAGTGCTGAGTGAGTGTAGATGCTGTTATTATTGTGACTACTGAAGTGGGAGGGATTTCTGTCTCTCTGTTATATCTTTAGCAAAGCAAACAGCAGGTTCTATAACTGTAGAAAACAGCAACAAAACTGGTCTTAACCATTTTTAGTATGGACCTAAATTCATTTAAAACTTCCAAAGTGATAGTTGATTTCCTTTTAGCATATCAAGGCAAGCTAGAGTTACCCCAAATTTGAGTTTTAGAGCAAAAGGCAATATAGTCTACTATGTATGTATCTAGAACTGAAATATCTTATCTTTTTTCTAGAAAGCACACATAGTTTTTGTTTTCTTTTTATTTGATGATAGGGTCTCATCCAGCACAGCCTGACCTTGAGTTCAATATATATAGCCTAAGAAGACCATCCACTCCTGATCTTCCTATTCTCACTGCAATTGTTCTAAGATTACAGGTGTGTCCCACTCTGTTTGAGCATGGGATTAATTTTCAGAAAAGCCGTGTTCAATTCTAGCTTTACTTCTTCTTAACCAAATCCCTAGTTAGTTGGTTTCTTCCTGTGAAACATGAGGTTGATGACATTGTAATATGTATGTGTTTGTCTACAAGCCTCTGCCAGTCCCACTTGGGCTATAGTAACCACCCCTGTCCATTCCTGGGCTGGGGTAGTATTGGTGCGCCGGACTTCTATTGGTGTAACTTTCCATATCACTTGTTTTCTTACTCATTTTCCCAGAACACTGTGGGTCTCTAGGGGCATCCATCTAAATCTTGCTCACTTTTTGTAGCTTACCTAGTAGGGTGAAGTTGATGCTCACTTAAATCCTTACATCCTTGAAATCAGTCCCAGCAACCATCTGACTTGGCCTCGCCCCATTGCTACCTTTTTTTAGATTATATAGGACAGGATGATGTAGGTGGTGTTGTCACACTGAATGCTGTTTCGTGCTTGTGTATATTTTATGAACAAGAAAGTGACAGAACGTAATATATCAGCATTGGACATCCCATGAAGCCAACCACATCTGTCTCCAGGCTTATGGTCTTTAGGCATTGTCAGATCCACGCTCATCCCCATCATGTGTCTCCATCTATCCTAATAGCATATTTGCCCTTTAGAAATGTAATTATATAGAGACTAATTAGTGGGCTATAACAGTTACTCAGGTGACAGAAAAGATAAAAAGAACTCTGACAGAATTGTAAAGATGAACCTTCAGGGACACAGTGAAGAGCCTTAAAAAATAAGAGTCTGTGGCTCTGGAGACTTTACAAAGCATGTGAAAATCAGTGAGGAACTGGAGATGATAATCAGGTTTCTGATTTTAGCAGCTGATGTGCTGTTATTATCAATTTCTAATGAGTTTTTTTTCTTTCTTTTGTTCATTTATTTGTCTTCTGGCTTATTTTTTAGTGGGAGATACTATTTTCAGCTTTTAGATGTGTTGACTTTGAAGTTCCACTGAACTCCTGGATTGAAAGGGATCAGAAAGCTGTCAAGCATCTGGATATCAGGATAGCAGTTGCTACTTCGGTAGTGAGGACTGTGAGCATGTTCACAAGCCACTTAAGCACAATGTCCTTCAGAGACTGTCCAGAGGGAGAAAGAACATCCTGTGAAGCACCAGCTTTACTAAAGCTGTATATGATGGAAAAGGCAGGTGGCATCTTATTCTGCACAGGATGCCCAAACCAAGGAAGGTAGAATTCAGGAAGGAAGATGAAGTGAAGTCAACAGTATTGATTGCTGTAGTTGAGTAGGCAATTTACATAAGTGGACTTCAGGGGGGATTCTTGGAGGAGAGCCTTCTTTGGATTTAGGGGCAAAGCAAAGGGATTTTGAGGCATTGGACACATGAACCATAGATCATTCCTAAAGGAAACCTCACTGAAGGGGAGAACAATAACAAGAAGTAGCTAAAGTCACTCTAGGAATGAAAAATATGTAGGGGAACTATCTTCCTCTTGGGCTAAGAAGCACATGGACATTTTAGTTTTAAAAGAAGGCGGTGATGGGGAAAGATAGGACTTTGGACAAATACTGGCCCATAGAAAGGTGTTATCCCTCTGAGAAACAGGAGACAAAAATTAAATACTAAATGTTATTAGCCTGTGTCAAGGAAAAAGCACATTTCCCTTTGAACTTGAAAAGAAGGCGAGAGTGAGCTTAGCTGAAATGCACTGTAGGAATATTATTATAAATAGCATGCTGCCTTGAAAACATTTTCTTTTATCAGTTTTACCCTTTTTTTAAAAGCCACTGACTATTTTTATAAGCACAGGGATACTGAAGGTACCTTTGGTCTTGATCTAAACAACTAGAAAACATAGTTAATAATATATCTATTTCATGATCAAATTCATCAATGCTCAAAAATTTTAAAACTAACTTTACTTTTTATTTAGGATATTTGTGTGCAACACAAATTTATTATAGGAATGCACATTTGTGTATAAATGAAAATAATTTCAGTGTATTTAGGAATTTCCATGACTTATTCTAATAATATTTTGGAAAGTATCAGAAGTAGTGAGTCTAGTATATGTTGATGATAAAAAAATAAGCATGATTTTTTTTCAAAAGATCCACTTAATAATAAGCTGAGTATTTTTAAAATCCTTGTATTGGTGCAGTTTTCTGTAATAGTAACAACATGCGAGGCTAAGGGATGGTCAAACCTAATAAGGTTTACTTAATTCCCAGTTCTGGATGTTCACAGCCCAGGCAGCCTGACACCATCCCAGGTTGGATCCTTTCTACCTTCCATCATAGTGGATGACATCAGGATTCTAGGAGCTCATGAGCCAAGGAGGTCCCACAGTGAACCACGTAGCCAGAGCATGAGGAATGAGGAATTGCCATTTTCCCTCTCTCTCCCTCCCTCCCTTTTCCCCTCCTTCTCCTTCCATCTCCACCCCCCCATCTCTTTCTGACTATTACTATTTTCTGTTACACCAGGAAACCAGCATTAATGACTTCCAAGTGCAGTGGCCTCCTGACTTAACCATCTAGACTCCATCTCTCACAGATCTCATCACCTGTTGACAGAATAGTGCCACACTTAGGTTGGAGCTTCCAACACATGAACCCTTGGTGGACACTCAAGCTGTGCCTAACCACAACAATACCGGGCACCATGTTTTCATATACAGCCTTTTCTTTGCTCAGACCTCCATTACTTTCAACAGCCAAGGCAGCTGCCAAGTTGAATCTGCAATTAATGTAATGACAGCAATACTTAGGCCCAATAGATGTCCCACATGCCTGTAAGATACTTGATTATCAGAAAAAAAAAAAGGCTAACCAAAGCCCTTGTGAGAGCTTTCTAGTCAGTTCAGTTTCCTGACATCTTATTTTCGTAGAAATGGTTATAACTGATTTCCATATAGGTCATCAGGGCCGGCTTTGGAATGACAGGGATAATACATGTGGGTACTGTTTAAGCATCCTCTTACAGAGGTCCCTAGAGTCTGAGAGTCTGGAGAGGAAAATGCGTTTCAGAACAGTAAACTGAAATTTGCACAATACTCTGAAATTCAAGTTTATTTGACCAAATCCAAGCAGCAAAGAAATAACAACATAGACGGACTTCTGTTCTTTTCCTTGTTTCTTCATGGCTTTTGATTAAATTCCAACTCTCTCTTTGTCATTGACCCACACTGCCTTTTGCTTTTTGGGGAGTCATGGACAAATATTTCTCAAGCAGGAGCTAGTGAGGGAGGCATCTCATGTTTCCATGTAAATATCACTATGTTCGACAGGTTTCCTTTGTGAAGTGATGAGAAAATGCACACATTCCTAAACAGAAATCCAGGTGGCTAGCAATTGAAGTCAGAGAGGAGAGCTGGAGAGGGGAAAGTTCATTGTTCACATCATACTGTTTGAAAATCCATCTTAATACTTTTTAATGCAGCAAAAGCATAGCTGATACCTGAGAGAGCATTTTCTTCTATTTAGAATTAATTTTTAATGTATCAGCTCAGCATTTTTAGTATTCTGTTGACCATTTTTATCTTTGAAATATGAAATAAAAATTTGTATTTTTCTGTGCACTGATACAGTTCATTTTCTAAATTTGTTTCCTTCATGCAGAGGGTTGCTCCTCCAGGAGAACAGCCGGTTTGCAGAAGCACTACATTATTATAAACTGGCCATCGGGAGCAGGCCTACCCTAGCTTGTAAGTAATATTAAATATTTCTTCCCATTTGTGAAAATTATTTTTGTGACTTACAGCTTTACGGAGAAAACATGTAGTACTTCTATTTCCAAATACTTATTATTTTTAAGTAACTGTTACCTCTCTTTTCAATTTCATATTTTAATTCCATTTCCATTTAAAAAATACTATAATCACTCTACTTTTTAATTAAACTGGATATTTGAGCTCAAAAGTATTTGGAGTTATGTGAAGGCAGAGACAATTTCACATATTTTCAGTGATACTTGGGTTTACCCCTACCATTAGTGAACCTGTATTTCTTTCACAAGTAATTATTGTTTAGTAAATGAGAAATAATCCTTAGGAACAAAACGAAAGCAAGGATCGTTAGTCACGGCTCCTGACGCCCGCTCTTGTTTCTTTTTCTGCCCTTCCCTCTCAGCTGCATATTTGAACACCGGCATTATTTTGATGAACCAAGGAAAGACAGAAGAAGCCCGACGTACATTCCTAAAGTGTTCTGAGATCCCAGATGAAAACCTAAAGGACCCTCATGCCCACAAGAGCTCTGTTACCAGCTGTCTGTACAACCTGGGGAAACTCTATCATGAGCAGGGCCACTATGAGGTCTGGCCACACCCTCCCTGTCCTCCTCCTTCGCCCCTGCTCTGACCGGGTTCTGGTAGTCTCCATGTTTTCTGTCCTGAAACCTCCTTACTGGCGATGCTACAGTCTTTTGAGAAGTTAATCTCTGTTCACATTTCACAGGTGGTTTTTATAAAATTTGCTTGAAAAAATAAAAGCTTACATTATATGATAGAAACTGTGACTATTAAAAAAGCGAAGCGCGCACGTTGCTTCTCAAGCGTGTTTGCCCTTTACTCAGTGTTTTATTTATGTATTTATTTATTTATTTATTTATTTATTATATATTTAGGTCTTTTTTGAGACAGGGTCCCCAGCTGTCCTGGAATTCACTATGTAGACCAGGGTGGCCTGGAACTCACAGAGATCCGCCTGCCTCTGCCTCTGGAGTGCTGGGACTAAAGGCGTGCGCCGCCACACCCAGCAGTGTTTGATGTTTTTAAAAAATATACAATTTGTACTCTGAATACTGAAATGGAATTAGATGTAAATTCTATTTATTTCCTTAATTCCTTAAAAATTGCATTGACAGAAAAATGATATATTTTTAACAGTGAGGGAAATAGTAAAACAAGATAGCATCTGGTAATTTAGGTGACCCAGCCTCGCCGTCACATACAGAACCCATGCCTGATCAGCATCCTCCTGCTGCCCTCCTCCCTTTAAACTGCCCTCTACCCTGACATCCCCGCATCCCTTCAAGACTGCAATATGGCAAGAAGATGCAACTTTAGAGCAATCTTATTTAACAGCTTTCCTGAGTCTTGTCAGTAGAAGATTTATTTGCTTGGTATAACTTTATTTGGATCCCACTGGGTTGCATGTGTTAAAGCAGCAATAGACATTGAGCTGAGTAATGAGTAACTTGCAAGTATGAATTTTTTTAGCTCTCCTTGTTGAGTAATCTGTGTGAACTGGAAAATTTTATACTAAAAGACCACTGCTAACATTCAGCTCCTTGTTAAGCTAAATTTTTATGTGGTATTCTTCACTGGGCTGAGTTTTCACTCGTGAAATTAAGACAGTATGCTATCAAAGGACAGCTCAATTATTTTCCTCTAGTGAACCATTTAGAAATAGCAGTGGATAGTTTTAATGTTGGAGGAATGTTATTATCTTATTTTCAGTGAATATCTCTGTCATCCAATGATGATTTATCTCTCTTTTTGTTCCTTAAATTAGGAAGCCCTGAGTGTCTACAAGGAAGCAATTCAGAAAATGCCAAGGCAGTTTGCCCCGCAGAGCTTATATAACATGATGGGTAAGTAAAACACTACTATTTTAATTGATTTTCAGGAATTTGTGGAGAAATGAGAACCTGTACTTAGGTTAAGTGGAATTCTACTAAATCATATTACTAGTAGTCACAAAGAAATGTCACAATGATGTGCTACATTCAAATTGTGACCATGCCCTCATTCTTACATGAGCAATGCATTAATATAATGTTCCCACTGGGTTAATCAAATTCCAAAACATTTTGCAAGTGTCTCTTAAAGCCATTTGGGTACCAGGTATTAACTAAATTCTGGACAATGAGAAAGTACTATTTTATACTTATCTGTAATTTGGGGGTTATGTTTAGATATGCATAAAGTATATATTCATTTCAACAAATTTGTCAATTGAAATTTTCGATCATATTATGTGTTTAATCAGAAGATTCTCAGTAGTCAGTCTGCAGTGATGTACAGGTTCATGAACTTTAATGCATGTAAAAGATGAGAATAAGTGAGCCAGTAGGTGTCTTTTCAGAGTAGTATTTTAGAATAGAAGAATGCTGTGAAGATTACCATCTTCACACTAAACCAACTATTATTTTTCTGTGTTGAGTAATCAACTTAATTTTTTCGCCAGTCAAAATGTGTGTAAACCTCAGACATGGACTTCTCTAGGTACATGAGGTTCAGAACTAGAAACTGTAATCAGATTTGTATCACCTGATCAGTCCCTGACTGCCTTACAGGAAATTGTTGCGGCAGCAGCTGTTTGATGGTAGACACAACCCCAAACCACTTCCTGAGCATGGAGCTCTTGGACAAAAGTTCCCACAGTCTAAGATGCCTTGCTGCATCTTAGAAAGTAGAGGGAGGAGCAGGATTTGCTTTTTATCCTGGAATCAAATATTTCTTTTTTTTTTTTTTCCAAAGCAGAAATTGCAAACTCAGATCTGCCCTTTTCTTTAAACCTGGTTAAGACATTCACTATTTCTAGGCCGTCCTCATATATAGAAAATAAATGAGATTAGACCGTGCAACTACCTGGATTGTATTCTGTGTAAATCCTATGATTTTAGAAGTTTGATACTAGATGTGCGACTGTGTACGCACATAACGTCCTAAACTCTTCACAACTTCAAAACACAGTCCTGCTGAAACGTTGCCTGTTTTTTTTCTTAAGTGACAGAAAATTTAGAAATAGTTTAGAGATAGGTTGAAACACAGTATTGTTTTCAGTAAACAATGACAAAAGATGTCATTTGGAAGAGGTTAAATAAATGGAATAAAACCATTCCAGGGACTAGAGAGATGGCTTAGTGTAAGAACGCTTCCTTCTCTTTCAGAGAACCAAAGTTCTAATCCCAGCACGCAATTCAAGCAGCTGTAACTCCAGCTCCAGGGAATGCACAGACATGCTGCACATATACCCATACAGACACACACATACATAAATAAGAAAATAAATTTTTTTAAATTTATTTTTATTTTGTGTGTATGAGTGTATTGCCTGCATGTAGGTAAGTGCACCTGTGTCATGCAATGCCAGTGGAGGACAGAAGAGGCCAACAGATCCCCTGGAACTGGAGTTACTGACAGTTGTTAGCTACCATGTGGGTGCTGGGATTCAAACCTGGGTCTTCTGCAAGAACAGCCAGTGTTCTTAACCACTGACC